ACAAAAATAGATTTCCCCCATTTTCCTTTCACAGAGAGGCTGGTGGGCTTGAACTGCCAACCACTGGTTGGCAGTCAAATGCCTTAGGCACTGTGCCATTGAGAGCTCCTTAACCATTATGCTACGGGTTTACAAAAAATTCATATGAGCATGCATGTACACACATGCACACATACATACACACTCTAAAATTCTTGCTTTTTGCTAGTCAATTTAGTCTCTCTTATGTGCCTCTGCATATATCATCCGTCTAGTCAGAATATTCTAATCCTCCCTTCTAAAAACCCCTAGCCCTCCTCCAAGACACAACACAAATGCCTCCTTTATGACACTTGACACAGTTTCTAGCAGTGATAGGCCCTCTCCTCTTTCTCCCACAGATACTGAGACTTCACTCCTACTTGTGTTACAGTACTCGTATTTGAAGACCATATAGTGATGCTCAGCCCTTCAGCCAAGACTACTTGGTTGCCAAGTGCAAGGATGCAGTGCATTTTCCAGATGGCTGTTCACAGAGCTAAGAATAATCCCTGACACAAGGAAAGCCTGACGGGAAGCAACAGGTGAGCGCTACATAAGGATGATGTATTCAGTCTCCAGAAGGATGAAAGTTGAATCTTCATTGTCTCTAGTGTGAACTCTGCCACTCTGCTGAAAGCCATCAGAACACATTGGTAAGCAAGCAGATAAGTAAAGATCTCCCTCACACAGTGGGTGTCTTTGGTCTCATTGTCCCTTCCCCACCACTACCTGTGCCCTTCTGCCCTTACAAAAGTTCCCCCCTCCCAGTGCAGAAATAAAGAAGAAGATTGATAGACCTCATTATATTACTGTTGTCAGGTGATGTCGACTCATAGAGACCCCCTGTGACAGAGTTGACAGTCCCATAGAGTTTTCTTAGCTGGTATCTTTACAGAAGCAGAGCTGCAATCTTTCTCCGACAAAGATGCTGCATGGATTCAAATTGCCAACCTTTCAGTTAACAGCTGAGTATGTAACCATTTGTGACACCAGGGCACTTTATATTCATATATCTGTCTAAAATGTAACAGTGTTCCTCCAGCATTGCAGGAGACAACTGAGAAGTGAACTCTCACCCCTACCTAACAAAACCCAGGGAGTAGAGTAAATGTACCCTTCCAAACCACTTTATAGTCCAGAATGAATATAATCAATTCAGCAACTCAAACTATAAATTATCTAATAATCCACCTTACTATAAACTGAACTTTGTATTCTATGCGTGAAACAAAGTTATATTTGAAATACATTTCCTCCTGTAGTTACAAATTAGAATCGCCCAATATTTTTAAACAGTATTTTATTTTTTATTAAATTATTTCTCTATGTTTAGCTCTTTATGATATCTCATTGAAGTTAGGGAAAATATAGAGTCCCAGCCATCAAGGAGCCTATAATGTTTTAGAGAAATGACAGATTAAATGTCAAAACACATGGAATCGATTATGTTGTTAAACAGTATTCAGAAAAGGCAAAGAATGATACAAGTGGAATGGTCATTTAAGGCTTCATGAGAAGCAACTTATTTTACACCAAAATCCAGAAAAGTTAAAGGCTAACATTCTAGATACTCTTTCATTGTATGAGTGGGGCTACAGTATAGATAAGCCAGGTATTTACTAAAATATTCACTGTTTACATTATTTTAATTAAGTATTTATATTAAATATATAATTCAATTTCATCATAGAAGATATAACACTTAGATCTCTGAAAGTTCTTATTCTATTTAGTTCACTTTTTCCATTTGAATTCTAGATGAAAGAGGTGATTCTCTCAAGGTGTCATAACTGGGATTTCAGTTATGGGCTAAAGGTCTATGTTACTTATGTAGTACTACTATATCAGAGAGAGCTCTGGTGGCACAGTTTCTAAGGCATTTGACTGCTTACCAGAAGGCTAGCGGTTCAAACCCACCAGCCACTCCTTGGAAGGAAGATTGGGCAATCTACTTCTGTAGTGATACTGCCTTGGAAACCCAAGGAGGGATCACTATGAGTTGGATCTGACTCAATGGCAGTGAGTTTTTACTATATCAGAAACAACACAAGTGAGTGTCTTTAACAAACAGAAATTTAATTCACACAGTTTAGGAGGCTAGAAGTCCAAATTCAGGGTGCTAGTTCTACAGGAAGTCTTTCTTTCTCTGTCAGTTCTTGGGGAAGGTCCTTGTCTCTTCATCTTCTGCTTCCAGGCTCCTTGGAGAATTCCATGGCCTCTGCCTCAGCTTCCTAGCTTGCTTATTTAATCTCCTTTATATCTCAAAAGAGATTAACTCAAGATACACTCTACACTAATCCTGCCTCATGAACATAACAAAATCAACTCTTCCCTAATGGGATTATAACCACAGTCATCAAGGTTAAGATTTATAACACATGTTTTGGGGAGTCACAATTCAATCTACAACAAGGACTTTTTAACCAGATATGTTGTATATTAGTTTTGTACATTAAAAAAAGTAACTGTGAGATCAGGGGTGGCCGGGGGTTCAGTGGGAGAGGGGGAGGTATGAATAGATGGAGCACAGAGAATTTTTAGAGCAGGGAAACTATTGTGTATGTTACTGTAATGTTGAACACAGAGAGTATGCATTTGTAAAAACCCATGAAACTGTACAATACAAGGAGGAAACCCTAATGTAAATTATAGACTTTGCTTAATAATATATCAATATTGGTTCATCGATTTTAACAAATGTACCAGAGAAGTGGCACTTTCTCACAGGAGAAACAGTTTGCAGGGGAGAGGGAGGTATATGGAAACTCTCTGTATGCTCTGCATAATTTACATGTGAATCTAAAACTGCTCTAAAAACTAAAATCTATTTAAAAAAACAAACAGAAATGCAGAAACTGACATAAATACTAATATATCCACTAGTGAGCTTTAGTAAGTCCTAATATTTTGCCATATTTACATTAGTACTCTCTTCTTATAAAAATAAAATATTACGTATATAGTTGAAACCTCCTCCCTCAAATACAAAAGCAAAAATTCATCCAAAGATGACCCCAGTGAGCTACATCCCTAGTATTCACTTCCTTGTGTAGTCAGTTTGGGCTGACCTAGGAATCACAGTAACCACTAATATTAGGCAGAAGTGATGCTGAGCTGTTACCAAACCCAGCACTGAGTAGAACTGGAAACTTCCCCTTTCTCCCTCTTGGAACAGTGAATTTTAGAAACTTTAAATAGCTATGTAAGAACTTTGGCCTCTCTCCTGGAAAGAATACATGGAAGACCTAACGGTGTGAAAGAGGCCTTGAGACATGACAGATAAAGTCCTGGTAGTCCCAGAGACCAAGTTAAACCTAGCTTTCCAGTCATACCTGACAACATGCCAGATATTTGAGGCAGTTCTTTAGAATATTCCAGCTCAGTCAAGCCCTCAGAGGACGGCAGTCCCTGCCAGCATTACATGGAGCAGAAGAGTCACTCAACTGAGACCCATCCTCAGAACCATGAGGAATAATAAAATGGTTGTTTTAAGCCACTAGGTTTTGAGGTGGTTTGTTGTGCAGCAATAGATAATCAAAACAGAAATAGCAAACAAAACAAAACTGAAACAGAAATATAAAGATATTCAAAATATAAAGAAGAAAACCAAAATGATCCATAATCCCAAAACCAGGAGATAAATCCATTTAAAGTTTTTTTGTGTTTCACCCAAGTCTTTTCTCTATGCACACATTTTCTCACATATTTGTGATAATACACATATTATTTTTTTCTCACTTGGATGTGAACATTTTCTGATGTCCTTAAATTTTTAAAGTACACATAATTTAGACATTGTGAAGTAGTCTACCACATAAATGTAAAGTACAATTAAGTAGAGGATTGAGGTTTTTTTATAAATCTTAATTTGATAGACGAAAAAAAAAATTTTCATTTGCATTTCTTTGGACATTAGTGAGTAGTTCTCAGTTATCTGTTTGTATGCATTTTTTAAATATATGCATACACAATCAGGTATTAAAGCTCTGTCAGAATACAGAAAATATTCTTTTTCAATTTTCTGTTTAGCTTTTAATTTTGTTAGTAATGTTATCGGATATTATATATACATTATTGGATATTATATCATATTGCATATAGACATTACATTTTAAGTAGATATAATCAAGTCTACCAATCTTTTTTCTTTATGAGAAAAAAAAAACTTTAAAAATCAGAAGTAATATAAATTTGATCACTTCCTTAACACCAGATGAATTTCCCATTCTGTTGAGCATCCATCCCACAAATGTTGACAACTTTGCTTACATTTCCAAAGCAACAAATGTTAACACAGGAACACTGGGAGTTCCAAGTTCAAACAATGGATAAATATTTTCACCCAAGCTGTGAGACTGAACATTTCACTGAGGTAACATTACTTTAGAAAAAAAGGCTTGGATCAACCGGATTTAAGGCAGGAAATCTCTCACCAAACACTCAAGCATCATGCTGAGCTTTGGGGTACATATTTGTCTGCTCAGCTGGCTCAGGTACACGACGTCATGTGCTAACCACAGACAAACCAATCTAGGTACTTTCTACCTGCAGACCAAAACCAAACCAAACCCACTGCCATTGAGTTGATTGCAACTCATAGTGACCTCCTTCAGGTTTCTGAGGCAGTAAATCTTTACAGAAGTAGATTGTCCCGCTTTCCTTCCACAGAGTGGCTAGTGGGTTCGAACCACCAACCTTCTGGTTAGCAGTCAAATGCCTTAGGCACTGTGCCACCAGAGCACCTTTACCTGCAGTAGTTCTCAACCAAGAGTGATTTTGTCTCCCAGAGGACAGTCTGGAGATATTCTGAGTTGTCACTGGAAGGGCAGGGGCCGAGCGGTTCCTAGCAGACAGAAGGCAGGGATGCCGCTCAACATCCTACACGATGTCCAGGATTCACCCATTCCAAAATATGTATTGTGCCAAAGTTGAGAAACTCTGCTCTAGGCCAACACAATAGGAATAAAATGATCTCTTACCTCTCCTGTATAATTATATTTGCCTCTCACAATCTTCCTATAAAGCCGTGCGTGGCTTTCATCATCAAAAGGCAGGAATCCACTAAGTAAAACAAACGTGATTACACCAAGAGCCCACATGTCCACTGCACTGGTGTAAGGTTTCCTCAGCAAAACCTCAGGGGCTATGTATTCTGGTGTCCCACAGAGTGTTCTCATTGTCCAGTCACCACTTTTGTTCCCAGAATTTGCCAACCCAAAATCTGTGATTAAAATTTTTGACTCTGCACCTGGATGGTAGTATAAGAGATTTTCAGGCTTTAGGTCCCTATGAGTTATTCGCAAAGTGTGCAAATACCTAATCCCATCAGCAACCATCCGGAGGATTCTGACAGCATCCTTCTCTGTAAAGGATCTCTGAGCAATGAGTCGATCAAATAGTTCTCCTCCTGTTGCCAGCTCAATTACCATGTAGACGCAGTCCTGGGCCTCGAAGACCTCCACGAGCTGGACAATGTAGCAGTGGCTAACACGCCTCAGGACGCGGAGCTCCGCTTCACACGCTTCTCTGCCTTCCCTCATTCTGGTTTCCATCACCTTTATTGCAAAAGGCTTCTTGGTGGCTTTCTGCTCCACTCTGACAACCTTACTGAAATTGCCTCTCCCAATAAGGGCCTTGATGTCATACCTGGTGAGGGGCAAAGAAAGAAAAATTTGTTATCCCTCTGATGATGACCCTAGAAATTAACTAAGTCCATGTTTTATATCATCTTTTTCTATCCTTATATTTTCCTACCCTGGCTCCCTCATTTATTACTACTATTGCTCTTTCACTTACTATTGTTTAATTGTGTTTAGTACTTTTGAAGCCCATCCCAAATCTTTTTTTGAAATGGGGGCAAACTATAGAAAGTTAACGAGTTGTCAGACAGACAGTCTGAATGACAATAGCATTTATTAGACACGTATTATGTGTCAGGCATTTAGATATGCATCTACCTATCTATCTTACCCTTACAAAAAACCTAACGGAATAACCAATTGCCATTGAGTCAATTTCACCTCATCGGGCCCACATGTGTGTCAGAGCACAACTGGGGTATATAGGATTTTCCATGGCTATTTTCTACAAAAGTAGATTGCCAGGCCTTTTTTTCCAAGGCACCTCAGGTTGAATTTGAACCACCAACCTCTCAGCTACTGTTGTTGTTGTTAGGTGTCATGGAGTCGTTTCTGACTCATAGCAACCCCATGCACAGCAGAACAAAACACTGCCTGATCCCATGCCAGCTCCATGATCCCTGCTATACTTGACCCCATCATCACAACACTGTGTCAATCCATCTTGCTGAAGGCTTCCCCCTCTTTCGTTGACCCTCCACCCTACCAAGCACGACATCCTTCTCCAGGGAATGATCCCTTCTGACAACATAACCAAAGTAGGTGAGACGAAGTCTGACCATTCTCGCCTCCAAGGAGCATTTCAGGTGCACTTCCTTCAGGACAGATCTGTTAGTTTTTTTTAGCAGTCTATGGAACTTTCAGCATTCTTCGCCAGCACCACAACTCAAAAGCATCAACTTTTCTTCGGTCTTCCTTATTCATTGTCCAGCTCTCACATGCATATGAGGCAATTGGAAATATCATTGCTTGTGTCAGGCGCACCTTAGTCTTTAAGGAGACATCCTTGCTCCTTAGCACTTGAAACAGTTCCTTCACGGTTGACTTTCCCAATGCTACACATCATCTAATGTCCTGACTGCTGCTTCCATTGGCCTCATTTGTAAAAACAAGTAACATGAATTCTTTGACAGCCTCAATCTTCTCTCCATTTATTGTGATGCTGCTCATCGGTCCATTTGTGAGGATTTTTGTTTTCTTTATATTGAGACGTAATCCATATCGCAGACTGTATTCTTCAACCTTCATCAGTAAGTGCCTCAAGTCATCCTCACTTTCAGCAAGCAAAGTTGTATCGTCTGCATATCTCAGGTTGTTAATGAT